ACCTGTCAAAGTTGAATTGTATTAGTTGACACGTTACACGTTGTCTTTACTTAAGCACTAATTTCAGTCTGGTGATTTCTGTTTTCTATTCTGGATGCAATCATTTTTAAGGTCTCAAACGGTTTTTGTAGGCCCTTGGCACAGTGCCTGGTGGATAGGTAATAAACCTCAAGCTTTTTGGAAAAAAATCCCCCACTGGAAAGAACTCCTTCTTTTCCCTTGGTTTCTGCCTCCCAGAACCAGAGCCCAGGTAGGGAGGGCCCTTCTCCGTGGGCCTAGGGCAAAAGCCTCAATATGCTAAATCGTTTAGGGAAAGATCTTACTACAGGAAATCAGGACAAAGATGACAGAGGGATTAACAGGTGTAAGCACATAGGGAGCTCAGTACCTATTTGTTGAATAGACAAATGGATTGAGTTACTGTCCAGTAGACTGAGGACCTGCATGTGGGGAGGAGTGGTCCTTATGAAGGTGGTCAGTGCCTCTCCTACAATGTCTTTATTCTAAGAACACTTCCCTACATCCTTGCTGAGTGCCTGGAAACGGCCATTTCACTCTGGCCCTCCTGCCAACCCTTCCCTGTGAATGATGTAATAGGTTTATCACTTTCTGAGACCAGAACTCCCCACAAATAGCTTCAATTTGAAGCTATTTCGGAATTAAAACTGTTGGTTAAGGGCTTGATATCAGGGCGAGTACCCTCACCTTTCTTCCTCCTCCATATTCCTAGTGCTTTTACACACCTAAGTGCCACCGAGATAGAAATGATTTGCTCAACAGTGCTCTGGACATAAAGGAATTCTTCGATCACAAAAACGGGACCCCCTTTTCATGCTTCTACAGTCCAGACAGCAAGTCTGAAGATGTCATTCTCATAAAAAAGTACGACCAAACAGTTATCTTCCACTGTGTATTTTGGCCTTCACTGACTCTGCTAGGTGGTGCCCTGATTGTTGGCATGGTGAGATTAACACAGTACCTGTCCCTACTGTGTGAAAAATATAGCACTGCACTCAGACGTGAAGCGGGTGGCAAAGTACCTCATGTGGAACAGCATCGATTCACACTGTGGGGAGAAGCAAAGGAAGGAGCAGAGAAATGCTTTTGAGAAATTAATTTTAAGCCACAAATGACTAAATAAACTGAATAATTAAATAGAGCAATATTGACTTGACTAGTCATGAACAATTTCGGCGTTTTCTCCTCTTTCTATTGTGGAATGGTGGAGAGAACATGTGTCTCAGATTAGGATTTGAGTTTGTAGGCCATAATGACAACTGTTCAGGTGTGTACCCTTTGGCAATTCAGCTGCATTGTTCAAGCCTCTCTCTTTTTCCATCTATAAAGTGGGAATAATCTCTTCTTTCATGGGGTTATTTTAGGGAATATGTGAAATGCCTAGCTTAGTTTCTGGCATCCAGTAGAGGTGCTTTAAAATGTTAGTAGATTAAAAAAAAAATCTTTTGCTAAGTTTCAATGTTCAGTCAGCCTTATCCCTCTTCTGGGTATATACCCAAAGGCAATGAAGTGGGTACCTCTAAGAGGTATCAGCACTCCCATATTCACTGGAACACAGTAGCCAAGATGTGGAAATCACTTGTGTCTATTGACAGATGAATAAAGAAATTGTGATACACACAACCACACACACACACACACACACACACACACACACACACACACACACAGTGGAATATTATTCAGCCTTACAACAAAAGATCCTACTTTTTGCAACAACATAGATGAGCCTGGAGGGCAATATGCTACATAAAATAAGCCAGATACAGAAAGGATAAAACTACATTTCATTATACGTGAATCTAAAAAAATCGAATACATAGAAACAGGTAGAATGGTGGTTATCAGGGCTGGGGAAGTTGGGGGAGGCGGGGCGGGGAGAATGGGAAGATGTTGGTTAAAGGGCACATACTTACTCAGATGAATAAGTCTATAGATTTAGTATACAGCATGATGACTATAGTTAATAATACTGTACTGAATATTGACTAAGAGAGTAGACTTCAGGTGCTCTTATCTCTCTCTCTCTCTCTCTCTCACACACACACACACACACACACACACACAGTAACTGTGAGGTGATACATTAATTAGCCTGACTGTAATAATCATTTCACTATGTATACTCGTATGTATATCAAATCATTATATCATACACCTTCAATATATACAATTCTTATTAAAAAATAAATTGAACTAGCCTGAGTACCTTTCATCGGGCAGCTTGTATAAAGGTGAGAGTAGGAAGCCGCAGGAGAGGGTCCTTGCCCACCTTCTCTTGGCTAACTAAATAAGATAATGCATTTAAGGTCCAGGATGTGCTGGTTTAAAGGTGGTGGTAAGTTCTTTTGTATACCAAAGACTTCTCTAATAAAATATTTGTATGCATACAACTTTTAAATCGTTCTGCAAATTGAGTTTCTGTAGTTTTCTTAAGAGCACATCTGTATTCCATTTCTTAAGTTTGAAACCCATCTAATAATATGCAATTTGGGGGATTTTTTTCCCCCTAACAAATTTAAAACCACTCATTTGAAACCTAGAGTGTGTGAAACCTAAAGTGTCAATTACTTCAGTTTTCCATTTGTATCTTGGCTACTTGGTTCATCTCAGGAAAGAGACATTATGCTTAGAGAACAAAGTCAATTTAGAACAATGTTAATTCAAAGTCACTCAAGCGACTTGGCAAATAAACAAAATTTAAGCAATTATTTGCTGTTTATTGCTTAGAAGTATTAATGTCCCCATTTGCAAGGTTTACAACAACTGAAAGCAAAACCAGTTTGCTTCTAATCTAACTTCTCTTTTAGGTTCTAGTAGTCAACTGACTTGAAGAAAAGTGTGCCTACATGTACGAACACATTCACACGTGTATACATACATTTCTGCTTGAAATACAAGCATATAATTCTTTATGCTTAAAGGAAGTTAATATTTAAACAGGTATTTTCTCTAATATTCATCACTTCACTGGGGCAGAAAAATTGGCTTTTTAGGCATAATAGTTTCAGGTTTCCATTCAATTATTCTTAGCCATTATTATAACAACTCAAATTCAGCTAAATTTTGATTGTTAGCAACACTGGTTTGCTTTTAAGTATTCAAAAGAAACGGCAAAATATAATCACCACAGTTTTTCCTTTAAAATATATAGTACACTAAGGATTGTTTGGACACAGTCAAGTAATTTTTTTTTTTTTTTTAATAAACAGCGTGATGTTACAGACTGCAAAGTTAAAGAAAAGCAAACATTGACAGTTTCTGATGAGCACAAACAGTAAGTGCAGTCACAGGCCAAACTTCTTGCTAGGAACAGCAAGATTGGGAAGAGGTCTTAAGTTCAGTGTCTAAATTCTCAGTCCAATAACACGTGCATCTTGTTGTGTCAAATACTTTTGGGGCCATCATTCAAAGAACATTTAAAAACTTTTCTCCTAACTAATGCAGTATACCACAGGACTTCAATTCATTGAATGACAAAATATAGAGAAACAGATTTGCTCTTTGGGGGACTAAAAGGGATGGTGGGAGCTCCGTTTTGATGTGTTAGTAGTCTTCTTTTGGTAGGGCCATATTCCCCAAGATATTAAAGTGTTATGCTATGTTCCAAAAGGATATATTCTTTCAGATTTTATTCAACCCAATTATGTCCAAGGACTGAACACATTGAAACCACTGATTGTATTTGAAACTTAGGTTCCATAGCCAAAAACATTTCTAGAAATCAGATGAAGGCCAAGCTCTTAGGAACATACATTAAATCTGGTAAGGGGCTTTTTCTTATGAAATCAATAGATAATGACCACATTTGGAAATTCACGCTAGAAATAAGTTCAGTCATAGTAAAGATATTTTGAGAAAATATTAAAGTTGGTTTTCTGCCTCCTTGCTAACCTAGAAGAATTAACAAAAATAAGAATCACATAAAAATGTAAATGGCTCGTAGCATAACCACAAAATTATCGTAGTGACAGATTAAATGTGGTTTCAGATAGACTCATAGACTTAAATAGCTAACAAAAATGCATAAAAACCCCTTTCCATACACCAACATGAGGAGTGGGGTCCACTGCTGGTAGTGAAAATCAGTTACCCAACTACACTAAATGTACAACGGACAGATTTTACTTTTCTCCTCCCTGCTAAAACTCTTACATGTAGTTGTGTAAAAATTAAGTCAGAAAATTTCCTATGGCTCATAACTGTCACTTTATGCTAACTAGCATGGTTGTAATATTAACATATCTAAAATATTAACATGTCTAAGCAAAAGGAATGGCGCTGCACCGATAACAAGGAAGTGCAAAACTTAATCAAGTGGAATACTTGAATGAAATAAGCTTATTTAAAAACTAACGTCCCAACTTGGGAAACTCCTAATAAATTCTAAACTCTTCTGAATTTTAGAAACTTGATGTTTACACCTTTTATAAAAGATGCCTTTTGACTAGTGCTAGCAAGCAATGTGTATACAAATAAAAATGTGTGCAAGTATGCACACACTAATTTCACTAATAATCAGAAAAGAGAACATAACATTTCAAATGTCAAGTTCAAGAACCCAGTACCATGAACCTCTTAGCACGATTGCCTTTTCCAAATGGCTGGAGCAATGACTAAATTTTTAATCAAGAATTTTTATTAATGTCTCCAATGCCATTAAAAACAAGGCAGGCCTACTCTGACTTTATAAATCTAAAATACAGTACTCTGCAAATTTCTGTAATATCAGAGCCTGTAGTATTGAATTGTGACTCACCTATTTTTTCCTTATTAACCTTCTGAGGTAGTTACCAATCCGATTTTATCTGGACCATAGTTATCTTGAGCTAAACCCTATAATCTTTTCAGAAAGTGAACACAGCTTTTGAGAGAAAAGAAAAAAGGCTTCCCAGGCCATGGCATGTTAAGATACATTTACAATTTTTAATGCAATATTAAGAAAGAAAAATGGTTTGTGTTTATATTTTAAAAAACAGCCCAGCTGTATTATTCTGTCACCAAGAATTATTATCTGAGTATCCTGTCAATGCTGAATTTTATAGTTCAGCCTTCTCAATCCCATCCTTGATGAAGAGTTGTTTCCCTCATGGTATTTACAATATACTCTCAGAGATTTCAGCCTTCTCTAGTGCCCCATCTGAGCAGGATGGATATGAAGAGTGTAATTCATTCAAACAACTCCTCCCTGTTTTGCCCCCTCCCTCCACATTCCCCTCTTCTCAAAAACATCTGAAGTATGAAAGTTGTTTTTAAATAGTAGAAGCACCACAATCCATTAACACCACATATGGTCTTTAAACTGAAATATTTTAGTGATGTCGTGGACATCAAAATCAATTTTAAAGGTGGATTCTGAGTATGTGGGTCCAGCCCAGGTCTGCTGTTTATGCAGACATACAAAGAAAAGGAACTTATAAAATTGAGTAAAAGTTAACCTGCTGGCTTTAAAATAATGCTGGAAATTAAATTTCTTCAAAGAGTTGGCAAGCATGGGCTATTGGTCAGAATATGAATTAAATGGATTTAAAAAATCATGAAGAAACAAATTCAAGTTTATATGCTGTATAATTTCCATGGTGCCCTTAAAACAGATAGGCTGCTCATAATTTTTTTATAGTGCCAAATCACGCAATTTTTCATGGAAAAAAGAATACAGATGGACTGTGTTTTACCTATGTGAAAATTACCATATCCATTTAAAATAAAATCCAAGAGGGTATATACATTCTAATCAAGTCATTGATTATTTTCCTGATTAATAAGAACTACACTTTACACAAAATACTTTATCAGCAGCTGTTTTCATCAAAAAAAGAAAAAACCAATAGTCATAGTTTCACAGTTGAAAAAGTTACACATTAAAATATTTTACAATTCATTGTATATTTACCAGGTTCTCATTTCCTAAAGGGCTTGTGATATAAAGCAGAGTAGAAGGGAAAAACCTCAAAGTTGATTACTTTGACACTAAGTTTTACACAGGACACTAAGAACCACAAAAGGCTTAGGTTCTATCATAAAATAGAGACCAAATTCCATTCTTGTTTAAAAAATCCAATTAGAAACATCTTTTTTAAAAAAACCAAATACCACAATATGATTAACAGATTTCAAATTAACAGCAATCTAAAAATCTTTAAAATAAACTTCATATAGCTGAGAATATGACAAAAAGTTAAAGCATGATTTTCAAACAGTTGATTATTTCTTGCTAGAATGTGTTTAAAATTAGGTTTACTTTGCTTAGACCTGCTTTTTTCCTCCAAAATAATCATTGAAGGAAATATTGCTCGAGTGACCAAATGAAATTGTAGAGTCAAGACTCAGTTATACACATTCAATGACAAGCAAGGATGGTTGGCCATAGGAACTGACCAATCGGAATTGATCTCTGATACTAAAGTACCTGGAGGTGACTATATTATCACTGATTTGAAACATATCCTAGTCACCCATGTAGCATTTAATTCAGTTTTTGGTTCTTTGCCTTCTGAGAACTCCCTGTTCCTTTTTCTTATTTTTAATGCTGTTTGCTTAAACTCTGCTTGGATTTGTTTAAAATTTACTTTGCTTTTTAGCTAGACCACTTAATCTATATTCCTTATAAAATTTGTCTACAGTGCTTCAAACAGAATTAATTTAGTTACAATAACTCTTGAAAATAATGTCAATGATGAAATAAGGTATGTGGCTTGTGTTTTAACGGTGGAGAGGTCCCAGGGAAAATGGACTATCTGGACTGATGTGGAAAATGCAAAAATTGTATAAATTGTATGCAAGGAAGCTCAAAGCTTTTTTGGCACTTGGGTAAAACACGGTTCTCTGTTAAAACTTCAGTTTCCACCATCAAAGTTTCAGATTTGTACCATTTCACTGAGTTTTCCTGTAATCAATCCCTGATATAGAAAACACTGGGATGTTAGTATGTATTATAACTGAATAGATCTAAAAGACAGAAAATGTTAATCATAAAGTTTTAATCTTATGAAATCTGTATCTGCAAAATAATCTATTGGTTTGCTGCTTAAAACAGAGTTTAAATTCTTCTTACTTATTCCAAGACAGTTTAGAGAAATAAGTTCCCCTAATCTTCAAATTTATTTTTCTTGTTGTCAATATTATATACATGCTTTAGTGAAGTACCTAAATCTCCAATAATTATGCCCTTTAAGGGTTCTAAAATAGCCAAATATTAAGAGTATTTGTATTAGAGTCCTTGTTCACTATTCAAGACTTTTACTATAGGTAACTGATTTCATAAGTGAATATTTTTTAAGTGATGCAGTTACACTAGAGTATACAATGTGCAATCTTTATAAAGTTGTAGTCTCCTAATATGCTTAATCTAGAAAACTGTCAGTAACTTATTGCACTTTTTCTGGTGTGGCACCTGGACATTTGCTACAGCTATTTCCTAGGGCATTAATCACTCATTTCAAATACTGAGTAAAATATCAGATTCTGAAGTGATGACTAGCCATTAGCCCCTTCATCCTGGGTTAATGTTTTTCAAAATGTTTAAGAATGTATCCTGTGCTCCAATGCAATTTAATAAAGTTGGAGAGTGAGACCTGACCACTTGGAAATGGGATGTGATCTTACAATGGTTAAAGTCCTACTTTTATTAATTTGATATTGGATAAATAGCCTAAAAAGGCTTAAAGTTCATGGTTTCTATTTCCCCATATTACAAAGTATTATTCATGAGCATACCTCAGTAGAGGGTTTAAGCAATCAGGAAGATACTCTAAATTATATTAATTTTGGTACTTAATTTCATATGATTGAGGCATTCTGAACTATAAAGGAGGATGGAAGATGGGGGATTCATGTAAAAACAGAAAGAAATAAGGGAAGAGGATGAACTTTAATCTGTTTTCTTTAAGTAGTTATTCACTAGTATTGGTATAAATGGGATAGTGCCTGAGCCTTACCCACAGACCAAGAGAAAAGCTGAGCATGCTGATACGAACAATAAAAAATTTGGGGTGCAAAACAATGCATGACTATGGGACAGATTGTGAAATAAAGAATATATATTAATGATAGTTTCTATAATATAAATAGCCTTTAATAAAAAAAATAATCTTTTTAATAACATTAATACTCATTTCTATTTTCTGGAAAACATGCATGAAAAATGTATTCAATTCAATTGCAAAAGGAGAAAAAAAGAAATCAACCTAAGGTGAATACTGTACAATTCTGGAGCAAGAACTGTTTCTGCTCATTCTTTCTCTATGATGATTATTTCATTTTATTTGGGTGCCCAGAATTTCCCTGGGAAATAAGAATCAGATTCTTGTAAATACTGTCCAGAAAAAAAACCCAAAAACACCACTTTATAACAGGTCTCATTTGTGACTGCTTCCAAAACTTTGCCGATAAGACCCCAAATCATCAAAAGGTTTGATTTATTAAAAAAGGAAAGTCTCTGGTGAAACCTCAAAAGTCCCTTCCACCCCAAACATTTTTCTTCATTAAACAAGGAGTCAAAAAACCCACTTCAACCTATAAGTTGAACAGCAATGAAAAAATAAGAAATTTTCCTTTTTTCCAATGTGAATGTAATTTAACATCAAACTCCAGTTTACTTGGACCTAATGCAATAATAGACTGTGTGTCTACATTTCAAAACATAGAACATTTGCAAGACAAAGAACATCATTCTTTTTCCTTCTCCATCATTTCTATATATTTTGGGGTTTTTTTTTGTTTTGTTTTGTTTTTTAAAAAAAGATACAAACAATCTTCAAAGTTTACCTTTTTGGACTTAAGGCATAACATGAAATTGCGCATTATTCTAAAGCTTAATTTTGAAATGAACTAGTTTAGTGCTATCAAACCCTGTTTGCGTTTGCATTATTTAAATTATATAGTATTTTATTTCTGTTCTTGCTGTAAATTCTAATGCTGTTCATGGATTGTGCAATTCCTATGCAATCAGTCTTTGCCTGCTGACAGTTATTAACAGTGCAGTACAGAATCCAATATTGAGCTTTCAGTTTCTTAGTTATCATTTCAGTTCAAAGCATGCTGCTTAATTGTGTGGAAGATCCAATCCATTTTTGTTGTCCAGCCACCATGATGTGCATCATTCATTTGTTTCATGAAATATTCCAAAGCCTCTTGCTCAGTTTTATCTAAAGCTAGGGTCTTTCGAATGTATGCAATATCATCAAAAGATTGTAGTTCTGGCATTCCAGAGCCAAGCATCATTGAGAAAAGATTTATGAAGAGGTTGGCATGCTGCCGAATAGCTAGATAAGCTTTGTAACACATCTCCTGAAACCTACAAGTAATAAAGAACAGTTTGGTCAGTACTGAGCAAATGGCGTTAGTGCCTCCAGGTCCCTGCTCAAATGTCACAGCATTAGAGAGACCTTCTTGGACAAACCTATAGAAAACAACATTCTCCTCCCCAATCCCTTTACCCCACATGAGAATGTAAACCTCAGGAGTCAATAAGGACTTCATTACTGCTTATCACCAGCACCTAGAACAATGCCTGGCACATCAGGAATTAAATAAGGATTTATTAAATGCATCAAGTGATCCATACTAAGGCTTTTAAGGTTCATAGGTCCAGGGCTGAGTTATAGATAAAATTATATTTTATGAAAGGTTTTAAAAGTATTGGATCATCAGAAAAGTCATGACACATTTTTGCATTGAAAAACAGAAAAATATGTCATGCCTTTCCCAACGACCCAATACTTTAAGGTTTAAGATAAACTAATGATATACCATAAGGTGGTAACAAACATTATGAATAAACATGGTAATTATAGTTGACTGAATTCTTCAAATTGTATGACTAAAAAATGTCTTAAGCACTATATCTTATTTGTCAATAAGGAGAAGGTGGAGTCCAATTATTTAAACAGCAACAAGTAAAAACTTTTCTTGAGCTTACCTCTCAAATTCTCTTGTCTTTGTGCATTCTTGGGCTCCTTTACTGATCACTATTAAGAAATCTTGTGTCAAAACAAATGGTACACGTTCTCTTTTATAGCCAAATTTTTTCTTCTTGTGATCCAAAAAGTGTCCAAAATCTATATGAAACAGCTTTTAAAAACAAGAAATTATGTTATAGTTTGACAAATGCAGAAATACAACATCCTGAATTAATACATTTAAGAATGCCAAAACAATTTAAAAAGAAGGCGATTACTTGTCCGTCATCTTTAACCATGATGTTACTATTGTGACGATCTCCAATTCCCAAAATGAAGGTAGCGACACAATATCCAGCACAGGAACGTGTAAACAGATCAATGGCTGCATCGTATCTACAAAGAAGAAAGAAACACCTGATGAGTAGGGTGGAAATATAGAGTGACCCAAACTGGGATAAGATGGTCAAAGTCTGTATTAAAACAATGAAAACAATCACTGACATTAGGGAGAGTAAGTAATTACATTCAAGGATCTGAGAGACATTTTGGGATTCTGAAGTTTTCAAGGGTTTCTAAGGACATTTCTAGATATTTTCTGACCAAAGCATAATTCTTATTATAGTGAAGAAATACTTATTATGTCATTAAAATGAATTTTTTCTAATTATTGTAACAATAAGTCAGAAGTAAAATTTTGAATGTGCAATGTTAATATTTCTAAAAAAGCATAATAAGAAAAACACCTTTTAGATACCTAAGTTGAATGTACAGGATTTCACTAAATTTAATCAATGCTGATCATTTAAACACAATCATCTCAAACATGTCAAAGGTTGAACATATTTTTTTCCTAAGTAAATACAGTTGTGTTTTCTGGTCTAACTCAGAAAGATATACAACCATTAGAAGATTTGTCTGACAAAAACTTAGATTAAATAGGAAGGCAAGAAGAACAAACTCACATTTCTCCTTTGTTCTTGTCTTTGAGCCACTGGTGTAGTGTGTGACTATTGAACTGCAGTGCACCTTTCAGGCCACCTTTGCACTGAATTTGCATAATAGTGTGAGAACTTCTCACCACCTCTATAAGTCCCACACAGTCACCAATTGACAGACAACCATAAGGTAACATTCTGAAAGAGGATCAAGGCATTTGCAATTAAATGATGGAATTTTTAAACAGCAAATATTTTAATAGGCTAATACAGAAATAGTCTAGTATTTGCAAATTTGTCACGTATAACATTTACTCCCTTAACCTAATTTTAATGTTCTGTTATTATAGTAAGACAAATATTCCTTGAAAAATCCTCAAAATTATCTGCCATCATTTATTATAACCATCAATTGAAAAGGATTTAATTATATATCAGAAAAGCATTAAGGAAATTATTGTGGCAATTAAAATTTCATAAACACCCAAAACTAATATCGTATGTTAGCTATATTTTAATAAAAATCTCAAAACATAAAATAAGATTTCATAAACATTTACAACTTAAAAATATAGGTGAATTTAAAGATGTTTAATTGACATCTAAATAATACTTTAGGGCAGCAGTTCTCAAATTTTTGGTCTCAGGACTCCTTTATATTCTTAAAAATTACTGAGGATACCAAAAAGCTTTTATTTTTGTGGGTTACATCTATTGACATTAGAAATTAAAATGGAGAAAATAAATCATTAAAATATTTAATTCATTTAAAAATAACAATAAACTATTGTACAGTAATATAAATAACATCTATACTGAAACAAAAAAACCATATATTAAAAAAAGTTAGAAGAGTGACATTGTTTCCCATTATTTCAAATTTCTTTAATGTCTGGCTTAATAGTACTGAGCTGGATTCTCATATATGCTTCTGTATTCAATCTAATGCAATGTTTTGATAGAACCATATGAAGAAAATCGAGCCTCACACAAATATGTAGTTTAAAAAATGAGTATTGTAATAACCTTTTCGGATAATTATATTTTCTTTGATACTATTCCAAAAATTGACAGAAGATAGTTTCTCAAGTTGCAATATGGAATTTGAAAATATATCAATAACCTTTTCATACTCCGTTACATTAAAATCCATTCATCTGTCTAGAGTGTGTATGAAACTTTCACCCATATATGACTTTATAATATCCTGCATTAGTCATTTGGAAGACATTATTAGTTCACCAAGTTATAGAGGTCTCTCAAATGTTGATAACTTTTCATTATACCAACTAAAAAGTCACAATTGTTAATATTACCACTGATCTCATCAGAGAGGTCTTTAATTTGGGGGAAGGTGTTAGGCTCACATCAATGGATACAAAGTTTTCAAAATTTAATTTTTTGCAGAAAACTCAAATTTGGCAATTAACAAATTCTGTCAGTTTTTCTCCTTGAAAAGAGAAGCTCATATTGTTCATTTTCAAGAAAATGTCTGCCAAATACCCATGTTTGAATAACCATAGATTATCTATTAGTTATTAATTAAATAAAAATGGTGTCCCATAAAAAAGCAGCAAGTTCAGCTCACAACTCAAATAACCCACAAATGCTTTCCCTTGATACGGCCATGCTTTGGCATGCAGCAGAGGTGCTTTATGGGTATTTGCCATTCATCACACAGAATATTAAAAAGGACATGTAGTCAGGGGTGGAGAGGTGATTTAAAGAGACAATGAAAAAAAGCACCTAACACCCCCAAAAGGCACATAACTATTACAGTATAATTTTTCTTGAACTGTTGTTCTCATAAGCTACTCTCCATTTTTTTACTTCTTAGTTCCTAAAGAGTAATCGTCTACACTTATTTTCATTTTCTCACTTAAGTCCCTGCAGCCTAACTTCTATGCCTACTACTCTACTGAGTCATCTCTTCTTAAAGCTCACCATGAATCATCGAATCCAAAGGCTCTTTCATAGTCCTTATGCTCTTAACCCCCTGAAGCACCTGATACTATAAATTGTTTGTGACTCTTCCCTTTTTTTGGGTTCTGTGAATCACTTACTCTGGTCTTCCTGCCCTTTTGACCATTTCTCTTATGGAAACTTTTCTTCTACCTGTTCTGGTAAATACAGAAATTTCTTAAGGTTGAATTGCCGCTCATTTTCTCTTATTTTACATTTTATTACTGTTGAACATGCTCATAGTCTAAAGAGTCACATAGTCCTATAAGGCTGGTTAGAAAAAAAACCACACAAACAAGCAGAATTACCATAAACTTGAATGTAAGTTTGGCTAGGTATAAATAAAAATGCTGTGATTTTACTTAAGTTTACTTTTTATTTAAAATTAAACTTTAGACAAAATTTTTTTCCTAAATTTACTTCTTAAAAGAAAAATATTTAAAAAGTATTATAAGACTTAAAAGCTTTCTAAGGATCCAACATACTTTCCAATGACCTAGCTTAGCTTTAGATGCTTTTTTTACACTATCATTAATTTACAATTAAATATGATAATTACAGAAGTTATATAGTTAAATCCTTTACTCTGTCTAGCTCTGCATTCTCTTTTGTACTCTATTCCCCTGGGGGGGGGGTGGTAGTAGCGGCATGTGGATCTCCCACGACACAGGAAATTATACCAAAAAAGGAAACTTGATTCGTATAATAATAATTGTTTTGGGAAAGCAGCAGAAATTAAGCAAAGAACCAGGAGTTTAGAATTAAAATTGATGACTGAATTTTGTGATTTGGCAGGCTAAACGAGATGTCCATTTTTCTTCTTTGCAATAGAAGGATTCTACTATTTGTTACCAGTACATTTTTATGTACTAGCTACTCTTAATCTATAAGAAGCACACACATAAACCCTAATCTACTCTGTAGCTGCAGCTAGAATTGACTCCTGTGCCCATGTACAGACAAAAATAATTTAGGCGACAGTGGCCTTTGCCTGAATGATTCTAGATTTGCAAAGAGAAAAGTAAGAGAAGGAAACAGCATTAGAAGCAAAAAATGACAGGGAGGACTGAAGGAATGACAGAAAACTTGGAGATAATACTGATAGTTACAGAAGGCTGGACAGAAATCAACAGAAAGGCAAAAACTTTAAGATTAGTTGATTTCATACATTTTGCTGCAAAACTGATTCAAGATTAGAGGATTTAGAAAGTTTTAAAATTAGAAGATTTACATTTTGAAAGAAACTTTCTTCTAAACTCTTAACTTCTGAAAGAAGACAGGGGCCTTTTGTGTCTCCTGTGTCCTGCTCCTGAATAGTGACGCTCTGAAAGCAGCTGCAGCCTTGACTAGCTTAGAGAGAGCTCTTCCCTAGCTGAATCTCATGAGCTATTCTAAGCCAAGGAAGAGGATACATGAAAGTACCACAGTGTAATCAACTAGTGTTTTATTATCCCACACATTTCTTTATAGATGCAATGCCTCTATATGATTTATAATTAATATTTACTAAGTTTACTTTCAGGATAATTTTCAACATACATGGTGCCTTACTGGTTACCTACCGAAGATCAAGACCTTGATTTTGCCAGATATTTTCCATAATGCGAATAATTTGAAGTGTTAGCATATCTTGCCGTAAATCTGAAATTCAAATAATATGTACCACCACTTAATGCCACAAATGCAAATTTGGGTATCATGTCATCATACTGTTTACAAGTGGAAAACAAATAGAGCTATATTTACTCTTCAAAATAATCTATAAGGAAGCAGTATTGTGATTCTTTAAACCATTTCTGAAGTATCTGCATAAACCCACCTATATGACAATGTAGAATAAGCTATTGCACAAAAATTTTAAATGAAGATATTTAAAGTGCTTATTTTTATGAATCCTTAAATATGAATGTTTATATTAAAATATTGGGTTAACAGAATTCAGTGCTGAAATGTCATTTTTCCATTGGAAACCCATCAGTGGGTCCTCCCACTGCTCCCCCCCACAGCCTGTTCCCCAAGTAAATTAGGACCTTCTTTTATATGATCCCTTAGCAGGCTACAATTTTCCTTTGTAGCATGGTTATAATTTTATTTTTGTAATTATTTGTTAATGTCTCTCATTTCCCTGCTAGACTATAAGCTTTAAGAGGGCAGGGATTCTGTTTTGTTTATTCTTACAACCCCAAGGTCTAGCATATCAGATATTTATGGAATATATGGATGCTCGCACAGCAAATGTTAGTTAGAAAGTGATTTCAGGCCTTCTGATTCTAAGCCTAGTACTTCTTTTCCATAATTATATATACATAGTCTAAAGGCTAAGACATCTGGCTTAATATTGTATATTTTACCACATGCATATTCTTTAAATGGCTTCCAATAGTCTTCATGGTTCATAAATATCCTGTATATAAAAAGACAGCTAAATGCATGCATCATAAGTTCATTAATACTCTTAACTTACCATCCCCATTTTTAAAGATGATCTCATTGTTCTGAAAGAGTAACTCTGACATGATGTCTGGGTTCTCCCAATTCAGCCACAGTGGCCTTTTTGCAGAGGACATAATCCGACACTCTTCAAGCCTTTGAAACAGTTAAAAACCTTACTAGGCACCTTAGCTTTGTTATTCTCTTACCCTCAAATTTATTTTAAAATACATACACAGTATAGCTTTCTGAAGTGTTATAAAATTTTTAAACTTTCTACTCAATTTTATTGATGAATTCATTTCTCAGGGAGTATAAAAAAGAAATATTAAGCTTAAAAATATATAATAGCATATGAATTTTCAACAAATATAGGGACATATCATTACTTTTACAGACATTCCATTCCATTTCTTATCCTATGATACCAGAAATTCTGGCCATAGAGTGTTTTAAAGTGTTACTAAAGTAGTAAAAACTCATTTTGAATAAATACAGTCTGAACTTAAGAAAATTTTGCAACTCTTATTTTACAGGGTAGGAGAATGGGAGAGGGAAGCATATATAATTGAACATTCTCATTATGAGAGACATTTTGACTTTTCTCAAGATTTTCTCCAGAAAGAGTACTTGTTTAAATATATCAATACAACTTCCCATAGAGTACCTTACCTGAGATTTCCTAGTTGATGAGCAGGATTTAGAGGAGACAGAAAGCCCTGTAGAGCATCCATGAAATCTGGTCGCCGCATTTGCTCTACTAAAAATTTCATCTGTACCTGATAGATAAGCACAATCATGGTTAGATACTGATTTCATAAAAGGTAAATAAAACTAATCGCTAACCTTTTTTTAGACATTGGAACCTCAGTATTGTGTAGTCTGGACTGGCAGCATTCTGATTAGAAGGGTTTGTGTAACACAGCACCACCACTAAGGCAGACAGGCCCGAGTGGCAGCACTGCACTCTTTCCTGTGAGAACGCTGCATGATGACAGCGGCTCTGGAACGGGGCTTGGTCAACTGCAGCAGGTCAGTTGCCAGTTTCTGTACATCAAATTGCATTCAATATAGCCATGCTCATTCATTTAGACATCCGCTGCGTTCACATAGAATAGCAGAGTCCAGTAGTTACAACAGAGTTCGCATGGCCTGCAAATCTAAAATATTTACTATCTGGCCTTGTAAGAAAAAGTTTGCTGACTTTTGAGGTAGAGGAAAAACTATTGAGACTTCATGTGATTAACCTTACTTTAAAGCTTTTCAGAAAACATCATATTCACCCTCTTTCTGTTGGGTAGAAAAGGTCAAGTAAGGCTGAAAGGGACTGTTGGCATAAGGACTTTTACAAACCTTACTTACACTGAGTCTCATGCTATTCTTAGGTTCTAGTATATAGCTGCACAGAAACATCCCTTTTTAATCAATACTAATCAGAGCCCAGACTGCTGAGCTATCATGCAATAACTGCCATTTTATTTTCGGAAACCTCCATCTATCGAAAATTCAAAATGTGAGTGGGAAAAAGAGGTTAGGAGCTAGGAATTCATAATAAATTAATTTTCATGTAGGAATTTTAGCAACAATGTTTTTTTCTTCCTTACTATGTATAAGCAAATGGCTAGAAAATCTAGTCCTCACTGACTAGGGCAGGTCTTGCTCATCACGTGAAGGCATTTCTTTTTCTATCACTGTCAACCCTAATGTTAGCACACTACTTCCTACACTTTATCATTGCTATTATAAAACAGGAAACCACTCAAAGTAACAGCTTTTGTTCCTATGATTGAACGTTCAGTTTTCTATTACAGTCCCATTTAAGTAATATGAGTAATGAATTTCATGTTCTTAATCCACTGTATCATAGCCACTCTATGATATGAAAATTCCAACTTAGAAGAAATGCCTATATTTACAAATTTAACTCATATCTAGTTTCTCTTTTCCTTACTTCAGTTACTATGTAAATATAATAAATTTTATTCTTTTAAAGCAGTCTAGTCCCCTCCTGCTCACAATTCCGGCATCAGAAACAGTACAATTATTTTCTGATAACCTATATTTAAACTTATATACCATAATTTCAATAAAATCAACTCAGTCACACAATGAATAACATTTAGATTATAACAATACATTTCTTTTAAAAAATTTTTTTCCCTCAAGCAATATTAATGGAGATGTTAGAAAAATTCATTCAGCACTGCTAATTTATATTCTCTGTCCTCTGGGGACTGACTAATAAATGAGGATTTTTTTTTTTTCCATTTCGCTAGAGGTGAGAAATGATCTCACTTTTGACTATAAAATGTGGTGGATTAAATAAGAGATAAAGAGTAGGAAATGGGGGCCGGCCGAGTGGCTCGGATGGGTAAGAGCTTGCTCACGAGTGAGAGCTCTGAGCAACAGGGCTGCAGAGCAGGAAAAGGTCATGAACACTCTTCACGTTTAATATTCCTCAGTAACATTATGCTAGCTAGCAGGTGACTAGAGTATGTGATATGGTCACTTAGTGACTAAGAGTCCATTTTAAACTTAGAAAAGTATAAACTAATTCCCTTCCACCCATTTGCAAGGCCATTACTAAAAGATGATATATGACACAAATAATGAAAATGATTTTTCAAAGTTAGGGCTATATAAAAGGGAAGTAAAAGGAAAGAAGAGTGAGCTAACATTTACTGGGCACCTTCCATGTTCTTGGGACTGTGGTAGGTGCTCTGCACATCTCACATAATTTAATTCTCACAACAAAACCCTATGAAGAAAATATTCTTCCCATTTTACAGATGGGGAAAATGAGTCTCAAAGACTAAATAATGTGTCTAACATTACACAGCTGAGAGGCAGTGGAACTGGGATCTAAATCCCAATATGCTCTAAGACCCGCCATCTACATACCTACCGGCTCTCAAATAACCCTGCCCCATTGCAATGAAGAGAGTCTCAACAGCAAACCAAGTCACACACCTTTTGTGTCTCATCCTTCTTCTCTTGCTTGAGAATGTCAGTTAAGTTAATGAGCTTTTCCATTGCTTCAACTTGTCTATTCAGGTGCTTCAAATACATCCCGCATGCACGACAATAGGACTCCAAAAGCAGGCCAAACCTCTGACTAACTGTTTTATTGTGCATCTCGGATCTAAAAGAACAGTGCAAGAATCAAAAAAAGAAAAGAAGACCATATATATATATATATATATATATATATATATATATATATATATATATA